TTTATGATGTCTTTGGGCCTTTCTGAGTCTACGGTTTGGCTGCTACTTTCTGCCATGCTCCTTTCAGTGAATTCCGTTAGTCTGTCACCCTTGTCATTCATTGCATCGTAACAAAATTGGCTTTAATATTGTTCATTTCCTTACTGCGGTCAGACTTTGGCGTTGAGATTATCCATGACGAAATTGTAACGACTATTTCCATATTTATCCAATTTTAATTTCTTCCTAAAACAGTTCATCAGATGATTTAATTTCAGCGCATGTACTCAGATCACTTGGAATCCTCATTGTTTCAAATTAATAGAACTGATCTTGCATACCTCTCTAATATGATGTCCATTTGCAGTACCTTGTTCTTTCTCTCTCTCTCTCTCTCTCTCGATAATGACCCCCACTCCATCTGTTCCTGATTTTTAACCCTGGAATAACAAATGATTACTTTTAGGCTCTAACAGCCGCTGCTTCTTTTGTCTAGCTTCATTGAGTGAGACAATGACCCCTTTGATTTTGCTAAATTCTTCTTCCATCTCTTGAATCCATGCTTCACCTAGAAATGATTTACACATTACCAGCGTTAGCTAAGTGTGTCAACACTGACCCATAACCTGGGTATTCATAGCATATTCTTCCTTCATGCTGACTAGCTGATCCCTTCGCCGGGCAATCCAGTCTCTAAGAAACGAGACTGTGGTTATAGTTGATTTTATCATAATAATTTTGTCATAATTCACCAAGCTGGCGAATTTTGCCTCATTCATTTAGCCGGAAATATTTTTGACAATTCACTGCATATTTGAACATGCCAAAGGCTCAGCTACGTATAATCTCTAAAACCTGTTGTCGGCTTCCTATGAATCTGAAGTAGTGAAATTATGGCTTAAGATGTTAGTTCATGAGCTGCATGCATATATTATAACTTTCTGTGAAATCAGTGGCTCACAGTAATGAGTCGCTTCAAATTTTTACCGAATCTTTAATAACACATCTCTCTCGAGCTCTCAGTAATAAATCAAGATGTCATTGGCAATAATAAGAAAAATCAATCAGTATAAAGGTAGCGAAAATTGAAATCTAGATTAATAAATAGTTGAATGTGAAAGCCTGGAATTGATACGATATAACAGCTACGTTAATTATATTCTATATATTGATTCCCACATGCTGCGCCAACGTTGTACATTGAATTTTGTTTCACATTGATATTGTAGCTTCAGTTAGGCCACTTTTGATTTTATGCTAATATGGCATGGCTCCCGTGATTTAAGTGGTTCAGAGGGCTTTATGGTAGGTACGCAACCACCGAATTAGGCCACCACCCTGCCAGATGCACCTAGCATCGGTTCGTTGGCCAGAGGAACAGATTGCTTGTAATTAATAATGTCGCAGGAGCTGGTTTTCTCATATACTATCGCAAAGAATGCCAGCATGCTTCCTTCTTGGAAGAATACATTAATAACCGCATATTTCTAAGCAAAACAAATTTTACCTGTATTTTGTTAAGTTATGATAAAGCATATTAAGATTACCGTCTAGAAAACGTCATCAGTGACAATAAATTTATTGCACGAGTCAGCAGGTTCGTGATAGATGCATGTATGCCATAAAGGTGCTAAATATTATTCAACTGTGGTCTTTGTAGATTACCTTGTACAACTACGATCCCGAGGTGATGTCGGAACTGTTGAGTTGGCCTTTTGCGATTTTTAACCCGTACCTGTACTTACTGAACCGATCATCCTTTTTGTTATTTATGATGATATAAGTACGCAAAATTCAAACTGAATTCGTCTGGCCGGTTATCCTTTCTTATGGCATCGCCTCCTTGTTTACAGCGCCATTTACGCAGGTCACTCTTCTATCATGTTTCAACATCCATCTGTGTTGTGCGATTTCTCTTCACTTTATTGGCCACAGTAAATATTTTTCCATGGTCAAAATGACGCCAAAACAGTAATATGCATTTAGCATCATTTCGGATGTTGTTTGTGTTTTCGGTAATTTTTGTCAATCCTGAAGCTAAACTTTATTATATTCATATAGAACATTTTCCATTCAGTGTTTCGGTATATGTATGCTACATGCCTATTTGAAGAAATGAAATTTCTAAATGTGTTGCTTTCATTTTGTTGCATGCCGATATATCACTATGGGAGTGGCGTCTGCATCCGGAGCTGCTGAAACCATTTCGGAAGGCGATGTTCGGCTGACGTAACCCTTTTTTCACTGGACTCATTTATTTCAAAGGAAAGAAAAGGCTTTATACGAAAGCTTCGAGCAGAACACTCTATAGTCTGCCCATTGATCAGCTACACGTAGACAAACACCTATCTTTCATTTGCTCCTTGCGCCATATTCCATTCTTCCTTCAATTCTGGCTGTCATTTCAAAAGAGAATTACCAGAAACATGACCTTAAAGAAATCTCATGTATGATTCGAATCAGGTTAAGCTATTTGAACCCTGGTTTACCATAGATAACGGTGAAAACACAAGAAGGTTCTAACAGAGAGGTTTTAACTGGTTCAAAATCGATATCGTTCTTGTTCTCGTTCCTACATACGGTACTGTTTTTTAGACTTTTTCAAGATCACCCAAACTACAAATCCTGCTTTCCAAAGCTGCGCCATCTGAACGACATGGATTTAATAAATACCGAAGAGTTGAGAAGTCACACTGACCTGTTTTTGACAAACCTCAGAGTCCTCATTTACAGTCTGGATAATCCTAACGAGTGCTTCTACGAATTGGAAAGAGCAGCCATTGCTCACGAGAAGACGAACATCAAACGATACCATGTTGAGGTATGATGTCTTTATGCTAAGGTTATTTGCTATTTCATGCGTTTCATTTCACTTAGGCCATGTTTCCAATCCTTATAGAGACGCTCTGTCAATCAGGCATAGTGGACGAGAAAACATACGTTACTTGGAAGAAGCTTTTTGACGCCATGAACCTTTATCAAGACATGATTAGAAATGGAGTCATTCAGAGCCGTAGCGAAAAGCCATAGGCTACTAAAGGAATCTGTATTTGCATTCATTATGAAGTATTTTTTCATACTTCGCTAAGAAGCATGACTAATTCCATGTATGGTCCTCTACTAGTGAGGTATACCATTGTGTCAATAAAACTTATGCTTTTGAAGAACTTTTGCTTCATTTCCTGAATTTCACTGGATAATTGTTTAATCAGTTCTTTTGTAATAAAGCCCAATGTGGCATCTTATCGCTTATCCTTATCGTTGTTACCTCCCTTCGCATTATCGACCCGAGATCAACGGTACTCATTCAAAATCTCGTTCAATTTTCGTAATTGCTTACCCGATAACGGAACAGCTCTGCTTTCAGTATAAGAATTGGCTGTAAAACAGGCAGAGCGTATCTGGTAGATAAATAGCCATAACAAAACACCTGATTCAGCTACTGGCATAATCGACTTTAAAAAATCTCGCAAGTCCTGTGAAAGGAGTGCCGAAAAATGCAGACACTAGATGACCATGCTCTTAATGTAGCCTTTTACATGTATACAATCCTCCTGAAGAACGGGCTTGTGCCATTTTCAAGGTACTGATGCTCTAATATTCTTAGTATAACGAAACAGAGTACTCGAGCAGATTATTTCCATCTTGGAAGAGATGCATGCAGCAGCTTTGAATGTTGTCAAAGTCGAAAGAGAGCTATCTGAATGGCTTGGTATTGAATGCGCAGTTCGCCTGGTAGATGCATCTTCGTCGCATTTGCTATTTGGCACTGTTCTCGACTTGATTCACTAAAAAAAGTACTGCCCGGCAAACGAAGTTTCATTCTACAGGAAAGACGGGGACACACGGCTAGAAATCTTGCTGACCCGGAGTCCGCAGATGATATTATCATGCTAGATAGTACGGCTCAGTCATATGGCTGCCTTCATTTTCGATATGGTTATGAACACCGGCCTCTACCGTAAGACCTTGAAGTCCAAAGTTATGAGAAACCAAACAGACACGAGAGATGCACTCCTGGAACAGAGGGATGAATCAATGAAGGAAGCCAATCAATTTAAATACCTTGGTTCAATCGTCTCCAACGATGGCAGAATCCAGTCACAGTTTAAGAGGAGCCTCGAATGCTTCTAGAAACGTGTTCAAAACTTAGATTGAAAAGGAGTATCTTCTTTCACATTATTCCGATATCACTGTTGCCATACGGTATGGAGTCAGAAGTCGTTACTCAAAGGCACGAACGACGGTTGAACTACGTACAGGAAGGTTAGTTTCGGCGTATAATAAGATTTAAATGGCAGGACCACGTAAGGAATGACTATATTCTCTTCCGGACATAGGCAACCTCATTATATGTAGAGATTAAGTAAAAGGAGGTTGGTCATGTTAGAGAAACTGATTGAGAATGCACCATTTAGTCCATCCCGTAAATTGTGCATGTGGGAGCTGACACGACAGACGGGCACGTGGAGGAGTGTATACAACGTGGAGGAACAGGTTAGAGGCAACCTTGGTTTCAGAGAGAACAAGTAACCAGTTCCTTACAGCAAGAGTATTCGAAAACTGCCAATTCGATGGAAACCACGAATAAAAATTACTCTGCTTGACAAAATCTCCTAAGGTGATGATTTCGACAGACGCGAAAAACATGCAATGACGCAATGCTCTGAAACTTGGTTTATTGATTTACATGTTCAAACTGCACAATTACTAACGTAGATATAAATAAGGCAATAAATTAGGTCAAATTCTGAAACTATACTTTTCCGACAGAAATACGGTAATAAATCAACATTTTATTCTTCACGTTAGCGCTCCTTATTCTTTCTTGAAATACTTAGCTGACGTCGGGAGCAGAAGCCCAGGAAACATGTCTCTACATCGTGATCGAAGTTCCCTTTTTTAGAGTCTGAACTGACGTTCCTGTTAAGTCGAAAAAAATTGCCCCATTGAAATCTGTTTTCAATATCAAGACGCTTGACTCGCAAACGTGCAACAGTGTCTGAAACAGGAATGCTGTTGAAACAAGCAGCAGAAGCACGAATGAACAAAGAAAAAATAATCTAGTAGTTAAAAACGAGCTTATTCTGCACACAGCAGATGGGGTATGTAGAATAAAGCTCTTTTTTAACTATCAGTATGATTTCTACAACGGCATGCTTTTTCAAAAAAAAATAATTTTGCAAAACATGCATTGATTGTCGTTATTGATTGGAATTCTGAAAAGTCCTGTAAACAGCATGTAGTTAATTGCTATATCTGGTGTTCATGATTTATTATTTATTCGGAGGAAAATTTCTAAACGATCAATCTGGTCACATGAAATGCCGCCAGTTTAAAGAACGTTATGCGAATCATGCCGGAAGATCCGGTTGCGAACAAGGCCTTTTTCTTCAAATCGAAGACCAATCAGTCAATTGGTCAAGAGTAATTGCTCGAGCACCAGTGTTTACTTTTGCATAAAATGATTTTGTCAGAATAAACAACTAGGAAGTGTGCGGAATGCAGAAGGTAGTGAGGTAAAGTTGCAAAGAAAATAAATATATGTGCACATTCAGTGGTTCCTCTTTTCTTCTGATCGTCTGACAGCCCTGGAGAAAAATGACAGACCACACGGTCGATCAAGCTCTTCAGTGACTAGTGTAGGCTAAATTGGCTCAAAATTGACATCTTACCGACTGGCGAACAAACCTCAAGTGTTCCTCAAGTGGCACACTTAGAATTCCGGCAACTGACCACTCGAGAACCGGATACGACCGCAAGTTTTCGTTTGTAAAAATACCATCCAGCGCCCGAGATCTAGCATATTATGAACTGTTTCTATGTCTCCCCTCGTGAAACTCTGAGTCTTCTCTGTACATCCACAGAATTTCGCCGATTCTACGCTATTAGTGAAAACATCTGATAGAATCTATGAATGTTACTCAGGGCAGAGACTGTTAATTTTGTTAAACCTGAATGTACTAATTTTCTACATTTTGAGGTTTCAGAGAGCTAACACCTGCTGAATATAGCCTTAGCTAATGTAGTCTCAATCGACTCACTGTATATCCTAGAGAAGGTAGAGGGAAATGGACCTTTGAGAGGAATAATTCTCACTATGATACAGTAACCGGTGCTTCGTAGCAAAAATGTTTTAAAGCTGCAAATACATCGAACATCACAAACTAAAGACGTTCCAACACAAAGTGATCATCTCAGCAAGCAAAACAAACAGACATTTCTCAGATGCAGCAGCAAGCACTTATGCAAATACTATTCAAATACGAAATACACTCGTTGATAAAACAGTGATCAAATATTACCGTCGATGAAGCCACCGTTGCAATATAGAGTCAAACAGAGCAACGACAGGAGTAACATAACGCGCACCGCAAACCGCATCTTACAACAGTGTTGGAACACAATATTGAGAGGCGTCTTTGAGGTCTACAGCGAAATGTTGACGAATCAAGGTCGCAGTGTATATTTATATAGGTGAATTCACAAACGGACTATAAACAGCGCTAACCTAAGCCACAAAATCAACTCCGAAATACTTTTATCATACTATGTAAACGAAGTTAACCGAACGACCGTGTGACTCATGACGTTGAGGTCAGATAGCGAAACACAAATCTTGCAATCTGGAAAATGAGGGCAGTGGGTCAGCACAATGCCAACTCACTCACTGAGGGCGCATTAAGGGTATGTCAATAACTCTGAGGTCAGTCAAAAATAAACGAAGGCTGTGCCGATGCAAGGCAGCAGCCTGATCCTTGGAAGCAGATGAGGTCGGCGTTGTGTTGCATTCATTTACCAGATGTATCCAATGATCGAGAATTCCATTTGTCCATTGTTCATATCGAGACAGCAGGAACAAGTGGTCTCAATACCCTAAATACAAGCAGTAGGGTGGTTATTCAGGTGATTAATGAATACCGACGAGTCGGACCGCATTCCACGGACGAAGTTCGGTGGTTGTTCTAATGTCATCTTTAGTGTGGCTCAACTGTAGCCGAGATGATTCTGATCTATATGAAAATTTTTTCTTGTACATATTTTAGAATGGTGCTATTTTCGCCATGAAAACAAGAATGATCCAGAAACTACGCCAGTTTCTACATTTTAGAGTTCGCAAGAAAGGAGAGGAAGTGGAGTGAAATCCTTGGTTTTAGGCCTGAATGTTATTATCGAAGAAGTTCAAATGACAATGTGCAAGACTATATGTCAAGTAGACGTCACATCTGACTAGAAGAGTGTTTGACTGACTTCTATAGTAAGCAAAGACCAACGGAGTGATGGCAATGTGAATGTGCTGTTACCACAAGTTGTTACTTTACACAAAGATCTGTTGTTGGTGCAAACTATCTTTTCTCTCACGGGAGATCCGAGATTCAGAGGAATGAAGATATTTGGTTTACTCAGCCTCATTTCATGAGCCGTGGCGATGAGGATTGTAGTTTCCCATCTATGTTTCTAGTTTTGCGTTGTTTTGTATCCTGATGTATTCATATCATGAGGCAAGCGAAAGAACGTTTTTATCATTCATAATCGTTTTGTTCCTTTTCATTTCCTCATTGTTTTAGTTCTTGGCTTTCTTCATAACCCTACTTCTTTTTCTCCTCGTCATTTTTGAATTCTTTCTCTGGTTTGAAATCGGCAGGGCAGATATCAAATGCAGCGGATTGAACATAATTCATAGAAATTTTCAGGATAGTTACGTTGTTGAGAAACCAAATATTCCATTATGCCGACTTCCTAGTCGCATACATAGCATAGGTCACAAAGAATATCCTGACCTTAGGAGCTTCATCGATTTGCAATAAGTTCATTGCCAAACATTGAATGTTCTTCTGTTCATATATGTTAAGTGACTTCTAGCAGTCTGATGGATTCGAAGGAAGTTTTTCAATTTAAATTTTGTCAGAAAGGCTTTTAAAGTCATAACTTGGGCCACGCTGACAGGGACACTCTTATTAAGATTGAGGACTTGGGTTTCTTAGAATAGCTTCCAAGGTAAGTTCTGCTATACACTACGCCGCATGCAG